AGAATAGGAGGAGGAGAAAAGGAAGAAAGAGGAAGAGGAGAGGAAGGAATCAAAATAAGCAGGAGGAGGAGGAATAGAGGAAGGAGGAGAAGGAAAGGAAGGAAGGAAGGAAGGAAGAAAAAGAAGCAGGAGGAGGAAGAGGAAGAGAAGAAGAGGAAGAAAAAGGAGGAGGAGGAGGAAAGAATAGGAGGATAAAGAAGAGGAAAAGAAGGAAGGAGGAGGAGAGCAAGAGAAAGGAAGAGGAGAACGAGAGGAAGAAAAAGGAAGAGGAAAAGAAGGGAGAAAGAGGAAGAGGAGAGGAAGAGAAAGAAGCAGCGGGAGGAGGAATAGAGGACGGAGGAGAAGGAGAGCAGGAAAAAGGAAGAGGAGAAAAAGGAAGGAAATGAAGCAGCAGGAGGAGGAATAGAGGAAGGAAGAGAAGGAGAGGAAGAAAAGAGGTATAGAGGGAGAAGGAGAGCAAGAAAAAGGAAGAGGAGAAAAAGGAACTAAAGCAGGAGGAGGAGGCATAGAGGAAGAAGGAAAAGGAGAGCAAGAAAAAGAAAGAGGAGAAGAAGGAAGAAGCAGCAGGAGGAGGAATAAAGGAAGGAAAAGAAGAAGGGGGAAAAGGAATAGGAGGAGGAGGAGAGGGAGGTGATTGGCCGAAGGAGAGGGAGGAAGGAGGAAAAGAAGGAAGAAAAGAAGAGGCGAGAGAAAAAAGGAAGAGGAGGAGAGGAAGGAAGAAAAAGAAGCAAGAGGGGGAGGCATAGAGGAAGAAGGAGAAAGAGAGGAAGAAAAGGGAAAGGAGGAGAAGGAAGAAAAAGAAGCAGCAGGAGGAGGAATAAAGGAAGGAAGAGAAGGAGAGGAATAAAAGGAAAAAGAATAGAAGAAAAAGGAGGAAGAAAGAAGGGAGAGAGGGAGGAGGAGAAAGGAGGAAAGGAAGGAAGGAAAAAGGGTGAAAGGGAAGGATGGAAGAAAAGGAGGGAGGAAGAAGGAGAGGAGAGAGGAAGGAAAGGAAGAAGAAAAAGGAACTAAAGCAGAGGAGGAGGCATAGAGGAAGGAGAAGGAGAGCAAGAAAAAGAAAGAGGAGAAGAAGGAAGAAAAGCAGGAGGAGGAGGCATAGAGGAAGAAGGAGGAGGAGAGCAAGAAAAAGGAAGAGAAGGAAGAAAAGAAGAAAAAGAAGGAGGAGAAGGAGGAATAGAGGAAGGAAGAGAAGGGGGAAAAGGAAGAGGGAGGAAGAATGGGAGATTTGATCTTGGCTCTTTTTCTCCAGATGTGGCTTGGGAAAAGGTGCCTTTTTGGCAACACCGTGGCCCTCATGGGGCCTCCATAAGTTGAGTGGCGACTTAGACGCACGCATGCAAGTTGGGAACGATCGATCTGCGAACTGCCGTGTCCTCAAAATCATTTTCCTTGTCCCTTTCAACGCCGAGAGGCAAGACCATCGCAGACCTAATTCCCAAAGCCCTTGGAATTAAGCAGGGATGACACTGGTGGTCTAAATTGGCTTAAGCCCTCTGTGAGCCGGTTGTGAATCCAGCCGCACGGATCTGTAGTAGCAGGATTACATTTGCGGGCTTGATCAGAGCGGCTGTCATCTCCTGTCATGTTTGCCGTCTCTTTTGGCCTTTTGCTCGCAGGCCGGGCATCCATTATTTATGAGTTGGGCGCATCTTTCACAGTATCTGCACTGCTCCCGATTGTTAATTTTCTACGTTTGGGAAGGGAGCTGTCTGGAAATGCAAAGCCTGGGCGTCAAGTGCCGGGGGAACTTTGAAACGGATGATACGCCTTGCCGTGGAGTACTCCGTATCTGCCTCATCAACAAAGGATATGTCAGCGCAATATCATGTAGCCTTGCAGAGCCCAAAGGGAAGCACTCGTAATGAAAAAGCACCACTGGCTTCCCCTTCCTGTAGACCTGTGGTTCACAACCTTCCTAGTTGTGGTGACCCCCGACCATAACATTATTTTGAGGGTGACCCCCGACCATAACATTATTTTTGTTGCTACTTCATAAATGTCATTTTGCTCCTGTTATGAATCATCATCATCACCATCATCATCATCTATATAAATAAAAATGTAATCTTCGTTTGTGATACCATCAGAACTCAAAAACCACTGGACAAATTGACACCAAATTTGGACACGAGACACCTAACAACCCAATGTATGTCCTTCACTAAAAAAAATGATTTTGTCATTTGGGAGTTGTAGTTGCTGGGAATTATAGTTCACCTACAATCAAAGAGCATTCTGAACCCCACCAATGATGGAATTGGGCCAAACTTGGCACACAGTTCTCCCATGACCAACAGAAAAAACTGGAAGGGTTTGGTGGACATTGACCTTGACTTTGGGAATTATAGTTCACCCACATCCAGAGAGCACTGTGGACTCAAAGAATGATGGATCTGGGCCAAACTGTACACAAATATCCAAGATGTCTAAGTGTGAACACTGGTGGAATTTGGGGAAAATAGAATCTTGACATTTGGGAGTTGTACTTGCTGGGATTTGTAGTTCACCTACATTCACAGAGCATACTGAACCCCATCAACAATGGAATTGGGCCAAACCTCCCACACAGAACCCCCATGACCACCAGAGTGGGCCACAGCAACGCGTGGCAGGGGACAGCTAGTCATCTATATAAATAAAAGTGTAATGTTCGTTTATGGGATTCACATAACTCAAAAACCACTGGACGAATTGACACCAAACTTGGCAGCAAAACACATTCTAATCCAATCTATGTCTTTCCAACAAAAAAAATGTAAAAAAATGAAGGGGAAATAACTTAAAACTCCTCAAAAAGAAAAATGCCTTACAGAGCATGTGCAAAAGCCCCTCTCCCCATTGGGCGAGAAGAATGAAGCACCAACCATTGTGAGGGAAGAAAAGCCTCGCCATGGAGTTTTTCCATGCAGGAAGGCAGAGTCCTTTTGCTTTTGGGAAGGGATTGAGGAAAGGAAAGCGGGAAGGAAGGAGAAGGCCTGGCCCAACGGAGGGGTAGGGGCTTAGCGAGGCATGCCACGGCAGCAGCTGGAGCCTCCGCAGCAGCTCCATGAGGCCCACGTGGCTACCAGGCAACTCTTCCCCCAACAAACTCAAGCAATGATAGATCTGGACCGAACTTGGTACTAATGCTCAATATGCCAAAATGTGAACACTAGTGGAGTTTGGGGAAAATAGACCTTGACATTTGGGAGTTGTAGCTGCTGGGATTTATAGTTCACCTACAAAGAACATTCTGAACCCTACCAATGATAAAATTGGGCCAAACTTCCTACACAGAATCCGCATGCCTTTAAGGGGCTTGCTGGAGTGAGCCTCCTGTTGGGGTTCAGCCAGAGTTTGAACCTGATTCTCTGTTTGTACCTCCTGATGCTAATGAAAAAGTACTTCTTGATGACAATACTCCTGAAATTA